CATACTGTCACTAGAGAGTATGTAAGGAGATAGCCAGATATGATGTGTTTAGTCCACGTTAGCCACTCCAAATTTGACGTGACTTTTTAATAGATGTTAAATAAGAGTAATAATTCACCTCATACATCAATTTACCTCCACCTAACAAATACTGAGCTATTGTTTACATTAATGCTCATGACGCGCGCGCGCGCGCGCGTGTGTGTGTGTGTGTGTGTAAACAAAATGGCAAAATAATATTCAACTATATACTTTGCCACGAAATTAGCAGTTGTAAGGGAAGAGAGGTTGCTCAGTGATGGAGAGGATGGGGAGGGAGGGATGGCTCGCTCATCAATACAAAGTGGGTTTTTTTAGAATGAATATTGTAGAGAGTAGATGGGGAGCGTCACTAGGAACTCTGATCTCCTCCGCCTCGTCCATGGCACTAATAACCCATATAAAGGGAAGGTCATTACCGCTGAGGACAGTGAGGGAGGCTGCCTGTGATATTCTAATAAAACGAAATCATAAATTCTAGTGAAAGAGAAGAGAATTCCTGGATATATTGTGGTACTGTTATTAATGGGATATCAGCATGAATGACGAGTAGGCAAGAAGCGATATAATAAACTGCACTGGTGAGAGATGTTTTGAAGTATCAATCACATCTAGTTTCATCACTGGCTTTTCACGCATTGGTTTAGTGTTGCGCGTAAGTTAGTTTTAAAAACTGGTCGTATTTATGTAAATTTAGGCGACATGAATTAAAGCCCAGTGCATAACGACACACACTCACACACACACACATTCTCTCTCTGCCATGAGAGGTTGAGAAGTGTATGATTCAGAGATGGATGGGAGCGAGGAAAGACCAAGAAGATAGGAAGATGGAATGAAGGACGCACCAGGAGTGAGGATGAGCAAAGAGCATGTCGCCATGTGAATGAGCAGAGAGCATAGCGCCGGGTGAATGAGCAGAGAACATGGCGCCGGGTGAATGAGCGGAGAGCATGGCGCCGGGTGAATGAGCGGAGAGCATGGCGCCGGGTGTATAGTGAGAGAGCATGGCGCCGGGTGAATGGTCAGAGAACATAGCGCCGGGTGAATGAGCAGAGAGCATAGCGCCGGATGAATGAGCAGAGAGTGTGGCGCCGGGTGAATGAGCATAGAGCATGGCACTGGGTGAATGAGCATAGAGCCTGGCGCCGGGTGAGTTTAGGGGGGGTTGCTGCAGAGGGGTGATACTTACGTGTGTTAAGTGACAGGGATAAACCAGAATAATATTGTAGTGTGAACGAATGACTTGCAACGAATTAATGAAAAATGCAAGCGTGTTTGTATTTGCTTTAGACTCTTTGATTCAGGCTGCTCTCTATATATTATTTATTCTTATCTATGGTAACACATCCCAGTAGTGTGTGTGTGTATGTGTGTATTGCGGCTTTCCCGTCACCATGGTAACCTCAACAATATATAGTGGTTTACGGCGTCCCTGTCACCATGGTAACACCCTAGTAGTGTTTAATGGGTTTTATGGCGACTCCCTCACCTTGTGAATACTGTTATGCTATTTCCAATAGAATAATAGGGTTGGTATGAACAACGTATAAGGGTGGACTAAACTATTTAATAATTAAAACTCATAACAATGGTATGACAAACGGCATCCCTCCCACGACGCACGACAGTACTCCCACAACACACGGCAGGACTCCCACAGCACACGGCAGCACTCCTACAGCACCACACACACGGCAGGACTCCTACAGCACCACACACACGGCAGGACTCTTACAGCACCACACACACAGCAGGACTCCCACAGCACACAGTTCACGGCAGTATTCCTACAGCAAACGGCACATGGCAGTATTCCTACAGCACGCGGCAGGACTCCCACGGCACACGGCAGGACCCCCACAGCACACGGCAGGAGGACTCCTACAGCATCACACACACACGGCAGGACTCCTACAGCACACGGTTCACGGCAGTATCCTACAGCACACGGCACATGGCAGTATTCCTACAGCACACGGCAGGATTCCCGGCACACGGCAGGACCCCCACAGCACACGGCAGGACTCCTACAGCATCACACACACACGACAGGACTCCTACAGCACACGGTTCACGGCAGTATCCCTACAGCACACGGCACATGGCAATATTCCTACAGCACACGGCAGGATTCCCACGGCACACGGCAGGACTCCCACAGCATACGGCTCATGGCAGGACTCCCACAGCACACGGCAGGACTCCTACAGCACACGGTTCACGACAGGACTCCTACAGCACCACAGCTCACGGCAGGACTCACACAGCACACGGCAATAAGTGTTGACCGGGCCTGCCAGGAGTTCCATCTCCTCCGGGGTGATGGTTCGCCGCTACTAGCTCACCTCCGTCGCACCACGTCGTCGTCCCGTCTCATTAGCCAGTCCCGTTATGACGCACTGTGACGTTGATTGACGTCAGTAATTGCTGCTTGAACCAGCCAATGAGTCCTTAGCCAGCTGGTCCACAGTCATGGCCTTACAAACACACACCAAATTAACATCTCAAACTTATGACCAGTAAGAGGATTTATTTTGGCGTCATCCAATGAGTTACTATGACAGACAAAACGTTGAGGAAAATGATTTAACTGCAGCTATTTGTTATATCAGTGATCAAGGTAATAGAGATATAGCGTTAGGTAAGCCTGGTGTCCTGGTTCAGTTATACATTTGTTGCTATCAGGAGGAAAGGTTTTAGGACTGTGTTTACGAGATGTGGTGCGTCTCTTCGGATAATCAGCACTAATTTCAATCATCTATCCCACTCTCTGCCTTCTCTTGGCCATTCTACTCTCTTGTTTGCCCATTGGCCCCTCATACATAGTTAATCTTTCATATGGACAAATTAACTTGTTTTTTTTTAGTCCATAAATCATCACTTCTTTTATGTTACTCTGGCCAATCTTAATATTTCTCCGTTTGTTTCTCCATCAATTTTACTTAAAGCTTTCTACTTTCGCACCTCATACTAAATGCCTCTAGCCTCCTCCTGGTGTCTGCTAGTGTCTGGCCTGAACTCACCATACGTAAAGTAACCTAACCTAAGCATCAAGCCATACAACATGCATAGCGGCTAGGTCTCATATACACCGAGACATACAATACATATACTGACCCGTTAACATACCAGCTGAGTCATATATTATATATGTTGGTCTGTTGGACATTCATCAGCCACACGCAATCTGGATGACATTTATTCAGTGTAGACCCGACAGGTGGTCAAAGCATGGAGGATCTTTCTAAATTGGTTAAGGACGTTGCCGAGATGTCCAGGTAGATGAGGGAGAACAGAGCTGGTAGAGGGAGTAGCACATGAGAAGTAACATGAGGTGAAAGATGGCTCATTATAGAAGAGGGTTCGGAGGAATTAAGGTGAGCTGGACATCATGGAGTGATGAAAAATAAGGAGTATCTAATAAATTTGGAAGTAAAGAGATCGGTTTATGAGGATAAGTTGATATAGTTGAAAATTATTCGTATAAACTATTAAAGAAAAATTGGAAGAGGTGCGAGGGAGGAGAAAGGTATGAGGGAGGTGTGAGGAAGAAAGGAAGTGCAGAGGAGGTGTGAGGGAGGTGTGGAGAAAGAAAAAGGTGTGGGGAAAGTAAGAAGGAAGAGGATGGTGTGGAAGAAGTGTACAGGAAGGAGGGGGGATAGAGAGGTGTGAAGGGTGAAGGAGGTGTAGAGGAAGTGTGAGGGAGGACGGTATGTGGAGGAGGTGTGTGGAAAGAGTGGTGTGAAAGATGTATGAGGGAGGGAGAAAATGTGAAGGAGGTATTACGAAATATAGAGGTATGAAGGAGGTGTGAAGGAGGAATGAGAGAGGTGTAATGGAGGTGTGGAGAAGGAGGGGGGGGGTGCAGGAAGTTCGAGAAAGGAGGGAAGGAGGATGTTGTTGTGGTCGCTCGATAACACAAAGGGATCAAAAGAGGATCAGCAGGATACACTATGAAAAGAGCACCACGTCTACACACTACCTGAACCTCCTTACATTATCACCAACACATTAAACACTACTTCTAGCCTCCTAAGTTAAAGGGAATTCTGCACTTTAAAACAAAGAAAGGTTTCAAATGATGCTGACGTACTAGGGAAAACTTAATAGTTCACTTTACACACTAGATTAACTTTGAAATTCTTAACTGCTGGAGGGAGAGGTCTTGTCCCTTAATTTTCACTCATGATCCAACTGAGTCTTTGGTTGAATTACACTTTAGCTGTTGGTTTGAAATTAGTTAGGTAAGGTTAGGTTAGCTGAGGTTAGGTTAGGTTAGGTTAACTTACGTTTACCTACGTTACGTTTGGCTTGAGAATATTACCTTTTATCACATGATGACGTACATTATGATAACTTACATAATTTTCTTCTTTTAAATTCTATGGATTTTTGCCTCAGAAAATACACGTTAAAGGGGAGTGTCACGTAACTGTGGCAGAGGATTTAGAAAATGAGACACACGTGAAAAGAAAATCCGACTCCGTTCTGAGAATAAAAGAACTGTAGAAGAAGGTAATCGATTTCCCTGGCAGTGTAATCTGGCTGATGGTGGGCTGGTAACGGGATAATAATACACGCAACACCATAAGAAATATTTGATTTCCAGCTGTGTCCAGATCAAAGCGAAATTCCTGTCGTGTATCCAATATTTTCTGTACCTGGCGAGCAAGGAAAATATTTATTTACTTATGAGGAGTAAATTTGTATTTACTTATAAGGAGAAAATATTTTTATTGGTATTACTTGTGTGTTAATGAGTATATCATACATTACTTATTCATTTCTGTATATAATATGGTTGAGGTTAACAATACTTCGCTTAAATTCTGAAATAAGTTTATGATATTACATATAAGAAAATAAACAAAATACTAATGTGCAGAGAACATTATGATCTTCACGTTAATCGTATGTGAGTTGTTCAACAAAAATAACTTATTTTTTTTCTCTACCAGCCAACCCCAGCGTGGGCCCGACTGTGAGGGTGGGCACAGGGCTTCGCGGGACCCCCATCAGGTCACGAACAGATGTGGGGCCCTTCCATGAGGGGGAGATGCTCAACCTCTCCTGCACCGTCACTGGCGGTAAGTATTGACTCTCCTGTGCTGCTCATCAGTGTGTATTTACTAATATTATCAATAAATATTGTTTGTAAAGTTCTTACTGTTTGTGCCCAGCATTTTGTAGGTGAATTCTGGCCTCACACAGATACTGAGGCAGTTATATCATGTGGTGCTTGGCAACAGGCTGATATGTCTTCCTGTTAACAGTATCATCAACTATCATAGTTAATACATGAAATAAGTAGATATACGTCATGGAACAAAATTGAGAAAATTTATATTTTCAGCTATCGATACATCTTTTAAGCATCCCCGTATGACAGGGTAGTTCAGGTGAGTCAGTCAGGACGTCACCAGATTGATTACAGATTGCCCACGAGGGGGCTAGTTTATTGGGCACCCCCTTACATCCTGTGCAAGGTGAAGTGCAGAAGCGTTTACAGTGCCCAACTGGGAAGCATGCGGAGTTCATGCTTGCCTTTATGACTCCTGCATTAAGGGCGTAAAGGCCAGAAGGGTCATGGGTTTTGTCAGCAAGTTACATAAAGTGGCAATATGATGAGTGTGGGGGGGGGGTGGAATTCCCGGTACAATTTATTTGTTTATGGCAAAGTGTGGCAGGTCCCTAATAATGTCAAGTGCCTGCCACTAGGAGGAGGGATATCTGGTCAGGGAGGGAAGAGGTGTTGGTAAAGGCTGGATACCTGTAGGAGGAGGTCATAGGGCAAATGAGGATGTAGTGAAAGAGGGTGTGAGAGTTAGTTGACCACAAAGTTTACAAACAGTGCTGCCAGGCTCAGGGATGCTAATGTACTAGGCGTGGCGAAGTACAGTGGAGGTGGTGGAGGTGATATGGTGTTGTGGGGCAGGTACAGTAGGGGTGGAGGGAGGCACATAGGCATTGACAACATTGAGGACACACCTTTTAGTGTAATTGTAATGGTGTGTGCGTTGACGTGTCGGTGGGGTACAGGTAGCCGAGGGTGGTGTGCTCAGGTCCAGATAGCCCTGGTGGAGACAGCTCAGACACAGGAGTGGGCGCGGCTTGCGGTGGGTGGAGGACAGGCTGAGGCACCAGACATCACCAGAGATTTACACCCACACACCTGTCAACGACCTTAAGGTAGTCTAATGACTAGCTACAGTATACTCGCCAGTGTTTAAAACTTGCGTGATTTGGAGGCATATGTGTAGAAAGAATAAGATGATAATAAAAATTACAATCGCGTGCATGCGTGTAAGAAGATAGAAAAGAAAGCGATTATAGAGGTGTACACTATGAGCCTGATGGATGACTAAAGAATATAATAATGAACTCCGAGGCTTATATTCTGATACCTATGACTACCTTGACTGATACCTGCCACGTGAAATTAACCAAAGAATATAACACAAATTAATGATAAATTTGAAGACTTCTTCTATATATTATTATTATTATTATTATTATTATTATTATTATTATTATTATTATTATTATTATTATTATTATTATTATTATTATTATTATTATTATTATTATTATTATTATTATTATTATTATTATTATTATTATTGTGAAATATAATATTAACCCAAAAGCATGTTAATTAATAAAACTTATATTAATGATTCCGGAAATGTACGTTATAATAAAGGTCATACATTATGCAGAATAGTATGTTATATTTCATTACAGTATATATTATTTCCGAGGATAATTGACGACCCGGTATGGTTAGGTTAGGTTAGGTTAGGTTACCGTTAATTCAGGCAGATAGGTGAAATAAGCTTGGTGAAGATTCTTCAAGTGATTTAAATCATGTTTTGGTGTGATGAAGTAAGATTTAGTATTGGGCTATTCAGGAACACTAGTAAATGTTACAACTTAACATTTAAATTATATTTAGAGTTTAGAACATACTGTAGTGACCCGGTTCTTAAAAATGTCCTTCTTCTTCTTCTTCTTCTTCTTCTTCTTCTTCTTCTTCTTCTTCTTCTTCTTCTTCTTATTATTATTATTATTATTATTATTATTATTATTATTATTATTATTATTATTATTATTATTATTATTATTATTATTATTATTATTATTATTATTATTATTATTATTATTATTATTGTTATTATTATTATTATTATTATTATTATTATTATTATTATTATTATTATTATTATTATTATTATTATTATTATTATTATTATTATTATTATTATTATTATTATTATTATCATTCTTGTTATTAGTATTATTATTATTATTATCATTATTGTGAAATACAATATTAACTCAAAAACATGTTAACCTTAATGATATGAATTAAGTCGAATCTGTGGAATTAAATGAGCTTGTTTAAATAAAATTTTACACTAAAGTTTCGTTTTGACTTTTGTAGAAATTATTCTGTACTGATACAGTATTTCTGATGGAAATCGTTATGAGAGGAAGACGGCCGCATGTCGTTGTGGCGCCTGTTACCGTACCAAAATGAATCATGTATTTTGGCCAAAACTCGAAATAAAACAAGTCATAGAGTACTGTATATTAGACCCGAGTGTTTATAAATTAGCTCAAGACAATGAAATGAATTTCAAAATGTTCCATTCACTGTATAGAGAAACATTTTATGATGCTTCTTACTGTTCGGTCCACACGCTTCGGCGATTGAAAAACAAACCATCACTAAACTGTCTGGGTTTAGCAGGAACTGTCATCTGAACAGTGCGAAACTGTGGTACACTCCTACTAAAATCAGTCATATTTCAATAGAGATTTGTCTTCATTCGGGAGCATGCGGAATACACGGAGTATAGAAGAAAGTAATTTCAAAGTAATGAAATTATCAAATGGTATCATGAAATGGATTCTAATTAACGAGAGGAGCAATTAGGTACATTTTTCATTCTCGTGAGGTACTCAATTGTCGCACGCCCCTGAACACAGCCTCCCTTGTTTTTGTTTTGCATTTGCTTAACTGTTTAATATTTCAACACGACTTGAGAAATGCTCGTTAGGTAGACAAGAGCTCCCCAACTTCATTTGCATAATATTCTCATCCATTAATGATAATGTCTTGTTGACTGTCATTTATCTCGTATTTCCTTAACAAATTTGATCCATTTTTTCCTTTGTGGCTGTTAAGTGGTTAGGGGAACACTGTTTTAAAATGTCTGCGTTGTAAAGAAAATATAATGAATAGAATGAATAGAAAATTCTAAGGAATGACTGAATCAATAGTGTACAGCTGAGATTTGGATCACGATTAACCGATGCCATTGAATTTGAATGTAATTGTCTGCTAGGATTTTTCTTCTCTTGGAGTCACTAGTTGGAAGGAGGCGATTATTGACATCCCCGTCTGCACATCTAAACAGAATTACGATGAGACAATGAAGTTCTCTTATCACCTCTGATTTATCTCCCTCGGATTACTCCTCTTGGTAAGACGCCCCCTTCCATCTTCGTCATCACCTCCTGCAAGAGTTACTTACAAAGTTACGGTCGTCACCATCACCCTCGGTGTCTTCCCACACAGGCTTAATGACGCAAGTCTTTTCTGGAGCGAGACTCGACCTGAATGAAGACAAATGAAGTCGTTCTATAAATGATGATGAGGCGGGAAAGTTCAACATAGTTTACATTAGCGGAAGCCGTCATGATTAATAGTCTTGGCGATTCCTTGCGATATTATTTATTATTTTCTGCGATATGAGGCGTGATCATGAGTTATGAGGGCCACAAGTGGACGTGATCATGAGTTATGAGGGCCACAGGTAGACGTGAAAATGAGTTATGAGGGCCACAAGTGGATGTGATCATACGTTATGAGGACCACAGGTATACGTGATCAAGAGTAATGAGGAACATAGGTGGACGTGATCATGAATTATGAGGACCACAGGTGGACGTGATCATGAGTTATGAGGGTCACAAGTGGACGCAATCAAGAATTATGAGGACCACAGGTGAATGAGATCATGAATTATGAGGACCACAGGCGGACGTGATCATGAATTATGAGGACCACAGGCGGACGTGATCATGAGTTATGAGGGTCACAAGTGGACGCAATCAAGAATTATGAGGGCCACAAGTGGATGTGATCATGCGTTATGAGGACCACAGGTGGACGTGATCATGAGTTATGAGGACCACAGGTGGACGTGATCATGAATTATGAGGACCACAGGTGAACGTGTTCATGAGTTATGAAGACCACAGGTGGACGTGATCATGAATTATGAGGACCACAGGTGGACGTGATCATGAGTTATGAGGACCATAGGTGGACGTGATCATGAGTTATGAAGACCACAGGTGAACGTGTTCATGAATTATGAGGACCACAGGTGAACGTGTTCATGAGTTATGAAGACCACAGGTGGACGTGATCATGAATTATGAGGACCACAGGTGGACGTGATCATGAATTATGAGGACCACAGGTGAACGTGATCTTGAGTTATGAAGACCACAGGTGGACGTGATCATGAATTATGAGGACCATAGGTGAACGTGATCATGAGTTATGAAGACCACAGGTGAACGTGTTCATGAATTATGAGGACCACAGGTGGACGTGATCATGAGTTATGAGGACCATAGGTGGACGTGATCATGAGTTATGAAGACCACAGGTGAACGTGTTCATGAATTATGAGGACCACAGGTGGACGTGATCATGAGTTATGAGGACCACAGGTGAACGTGTTCATGAGTTATGAGGACCATAGGTGGACGTGATCATGAGTTATGAAGACCACAGGTGAACGTGTTCATGAATTATGAGGACCACAGGTGGACGTGATCATGAGTTATGAGGACCATGGGTGGACGTGATCATGAGGTTATGAGACCACAGGTGAACGTGTTCATGATTATGAGGACCATGGGTGGACGTGATCGCGAGTTATGAGACCTGGTGAACGTGTTCATGATTATGGGACCACCGGTGGACGTGATTATGAGTTATAAGACCACAGGTGAACGTGTTCATGAATTAGGGGACTGGGTGGACATGATCATGAATTATGAGGAC